CGCCAAATGCTGCCAAGAGCTGGTGCCCTCTCGGGCTGAGCTTCTGTTGCACCTCCTACACCTACAAAGCCTCGAGTTGCGCCATCCTCAATTGCTTGCCAGCTGGCGCGAGCTCGCCTTTCTCGTTCTCAAGCGCCTTGTTGGAGAACCCAACAACCTTCTTTTCGCCCTCTTTGCCCACATGAACCATCACGGTCAACGGCTACTGGAAGGCCTGCCCCTGCAAGCCGTCTGTACCTGCCTCCACCAATGCCTGATGAACAGTCAAGGCTCTTATGCCGACGCCGTCGTGCACTTCACGACAGAATTGCTTTTGGGCTTGCCCGTGCTTGAGCTCGAGCACTTGCCCTTGCTGAAACTGGCCACAGTCCGCCAGCACAAGTCGCCGCAGGCCGCCCAAGATGCAGCTCGCTTGACTCAACACCTTCTTCATTGGGCCGAGCATCCCGCCATCGTTCAGCGGCTGCCGTACTTTGAGGTCCTGGCTCAGCTGTGGCTCGTCCCGCGCGTCCACGATGAGACTCACTCCGGTCCCAGTCCTGGTCCGTTTCTCGCCCGATGCGAGGAGTGGCAGCGCGAGTATAGCCGTGACCCTGACCGACGACACAATCTCGCTCGGATCTGTCGTCAGTATCACGCCGCTGTGTTCACTGAGAACATTACCACGCCCCGAGATCAAACTCGTGGGCATGTTTGGGCTCTGGCTTGCAGTTGGAGCTGGCCCATAAAAGGCAGCGAGCTCCTCGACTTTACCGCCATCCTCGATGCCCACCCAACACGTCCTGCCTGCCCCCAGCTAGCCCACAGCAGTGCTGCGCTGGAGCAACTTGCCAGTCAAACCGTGATGACATCGGTAGCAGCCCTGTTGTCTTGGGAGCCCCTAGTGCATCGATGCCTGCGCCACCTAGACGATTGCCTCACACCGGAAACCTGCATCCCGCGCGCCATCCTAGCCGTTGCGCTGTGGCTCAACATGATTGGCACCTTGGATCGTGGTCCCTCTGCGCAAGACAATCTGGCCATGCTCAATTCCGGTCCGATCTTACGCACACTTGCACGTCTGGCCTTGCGTGCCCCGGGCTATGTGAAGTCGGACCCTATGGCGTGGCGACGTGCACTCCAAGCGCTGCTCCCCCTACTGCAGCTCGAGAAGCACGTCACGGAGTCTGACCTACAAAGCTTGTTGGAGAAGCCCGCAAGTCACATTTTAGCCTCCCGCATTCCCTTTGACCAGGTTGTCGCCCTCCGGCGCCAGCAGCACACGACCTTGGGTGGGGCACACGGCATGGCGTTGCAGCTTTTAGCCACGGCACAAGCGACGCTCGATGGTACGTCTGCTTTTGCTTATATTCCAGTCCTGTAGCTATCAGCCACACGCAAAGCACGTGCAAGGGTGACTAAGCCCCCCGTGCTGGGGGAAAAAAAGCCCTCAAGTCGTTGTGTACGCGCGTGCGTACGTGCGCGCGTGCGTGTGTGAATCGCTCATGCTCAACTTTTTTATTTTATTTATATATTCTGAATGTACAGCCAATTGCGTGATGGAATTGTGTCACGCTAACCCAAGCTTAACTTTTTGCGACGTGCGCGCTTTACAAGCCCTATGGCACTTGGCAGCCCAACCTTTGCTCAAGAGTCCTCTGCTCGGTTTGTACACGAGGCCACAAATGCCGACGGTGTGATGACATACGCTTATCCTGGTGCCAAACTGTCTGCCCCTGCAGACATCAGTCCTTGGCACCCCATCCTGGAACAGCTGCCCCGCCTGCCGGCGGAGGATACCGAGACGCAAAGAATGATTGTCGTGCGTTTGAAACTTGACCCAAAACAATCATGACAAGGATTCTGATGCTGGCTGTGTATGGCGGTTGTCTGCACGGGACATTTAGGCGCTTATTGAAGGCAACGACCGAGCGTTGGATGACAAATCCTTGACCTGTCTCTTGGAAGCAGTGCATGACGAGGCCAGGTGCGTTCACAGCCCTTGCTGAAAGACCTTGGGCGTCTCACAAACTAACATGTATGGTCGCACTTTTGAACTAACTGACATCCGCTGCTTGAGCAGCGTGGCGCGACTGGCCATGAGTGCACGGGCTCCCGCGATCTTGGGAGTGGCCTTGCAACGGTATAGTACTCGGCTCACACAAGTTGGGGCGCAGTATACTACCTCTCAATACCGGAATACAATGTGACGGGCTCAGGCACCTAGCATCCTGGCTATTGGGGTTTGAGCGGCAGCTGCGACATCGGTCCTTTGCAAGTGACATGCTACGGCAGCTGGCTTTGGTGGTCCAGGTGCGAAAGCCTGCGGGCTGTGACAGTTCCTCAGTATCAATGCTCACATGAAAAGTGGAAGTAGACGGCTTTGGCAGCCTGCAGCGGAACTTTGGACGTGATGGCGGTGCGCTTGTTTGTAGCGCTGGCCCTCCAACTCCACATTCACCAAGTTCCACACACATGGTCCGCGCCGTGTCTCGATGTCCTCAAGCGGTACGGCCTGGTTGCGATTCGAGCCTGGGGGGTTGTTGTTGTTTGTGAAGCATGCGTAGGTCATTTTGCCCCTTCATGGGAAAACCTTTTGGTGTAGATGGCTGCGCGTTTGGGAACCCGACGGTGTGGAGTCGCAGCGCTTCTTGCTCGACCTCCTGCACGTGAGTCCATGCCTAGCTCAACTTCACTGCTTAAGACGTGTCGATCGCCTGGTCACGGGTTGATCCGACCACGCGACTGCTGATCTGGCTCACTCGTGCATGATGCATGCATACCTGCCAGTTGTTGTTTGACATGAAGGAGCTTGACGCTGACTTTTTTCAAAGTGAGCTCTCGGATCAAGGTTCATGTTTGTCTTTTAGTCGATTTGGCACCGCATCCGCTTGCTTGAACTGAACTCTGTGAAACCTGGCTTTAGCCCATGCATGGCACCCAACAACTGAGGCTTACGTTCGAGATCACGTTCAGACTCCGGCTTGCAGCAGCCTGCATGCTCTCATTCTGGGGCTGTCGCGGCCTCTTGATGCGCTTTCTGCGCTTGAGCAGGCACTTGGTAGATGCATGCGTCCAGGACGCACACAGACATCTTTTGAGCGCTCGAGGTTCTGCGCTATGGCTCATGGCATCTGATTGGGTGTGGAAAATAGCTGGTTCTATTGAGGCCCGCTTTTGCGCCCACTGGCAGCTTTACAACCGGCCGTTACCCATCAACTTGGTCAGAATGCACCCTTGTCCCCGTTGCCCCCTCAAGAGGAGGCTGCTGGCCTGCACAATTGCAGCGGCGGTTGTGTGATGATGTCAGTGTGGTGTGCGCGTGTCTTTCCCTTGGCAGCTGTGGTCGCTGAGGCCATGCTTGAAGCGTCTAGCCGCGATGGCAGGTCGGCCCAACCCGGACATGGTCGAGAAATCACCAAGGTACGCTCGCCCAGAACCACGGGCATCGATCGATCTTTTCCTCTGCTTGACGGTCGCGACGAGTGGGCCATGTTGACACGCCGCTGCACTGTCCAGGCATGCATTGGCGGTTGTGGATGCATCGTCGACCCTTGCTCTCGGCCTGCTGCAACGTCTGCCGCCGGTGTGTCTGAAGCGTCATGTCTCGGGAGGCTAGTTTGCCTGCTCGCGTCCAGCGCTGATTCTGCTCAATAGGAGCCCGAAGCAGGGCTGGGGCCTGCATCGCCCATTAGCGCGATGCCCGTAACGCTGGCGGAACTGCTAGCAGAAAAGAGTCCGACAGCGTCTAGCTCGGCCTCGGCCTCAGAGGAGGGGCGTCGATCCCCAACCTGGTCTCCATGGCACTCACTTCGGTCGGTGCTGGCTATTTGCGATAACGGTCATGAACTTTTTGGTGTGTGCCACTGCTGCGCATTAAGCACCACGGTCGGCTCAAGCGGTGCCACCGTGTGCGTGCACAGGGTCATTGACGGACATCTGACCTCGGGCTGGTTGCTGGCGGCAGCGCACCAACCACCTCAGCGTGAATTGTCAGCATGAGACGCTGTCGCTGTCTCGTCTCGCTGTCTCTCTCTCTCTCTCTCTCTCTCTTCGTATTTTGCTATCGGTTTGGCCTGAAAAACACGTGTCGTTTTCATTCAAGAACCGATTACGTAACGCATGCTTCAAGGCTGCTGATGTTGCAATAGCCCCGACCAGTGGCGTGGCCAAGCGACCCGGACGAGCATACCAGGCAAAGTGTATATACGGCACACCTTGATTAACCAATACCCTACCTCCAAAACACAAAGGCCTCGTGCCCTTTGTGTTTGTGTGTTTGTTGTTCCAGCGCTTGCTGATGATGACGAGCCGGACAGACGAAGAAAGTTGACAGAAGAAGCAGCACCATTCAAACTTGAAGCAGAAGTTCTGCCTCACTTACTTTAGAATACCTTGAAGCCCCCACGAAGCAAACGCAGTGTTCCTCACAGAAGACGTACATGTAAGACAAACCACAGCAATAATCCAAAAAAAAAAAAAAAAAGCAGCAGCAGAAAAAAAGTCGTCAACCACGTTGTTCAACTCTGCTTCTCCCTCACCCTTCTCCTCGCTCCCCTTGGCCACCTTGGCTTACTTTTCTTTTTTGCTCTGTCCCGTCGACCAGTCGTGACCAGCCGTCCCCGTCACAATGGAGTTTGGCCCATCCAAGTGCACCTACCAGGCTGGCAAGAAGGATCAGAAGGATCCTCACCAGCATCTCTCCCGGTAACCGCGTTGCCCACACCCTTGTCCGACCTCTGCCAGATGCCGTTTGAGAAACCGTATCAGACTCTCACCTGGGCTCCCTGGCGCGGTGCAGCTCGGATCCTGACTCGATCCATGCTCGCCAAGAACTCAAGCCGGGCATTCTGCCCAATGTCCTGTACAACATTGGTGCGTGTATACTCGGAGACTGAATACAATTGAGGCAGCGAAGGGCGCCAAGGCAAAAGATCAGACCAACCCCCTGTTGTGCCACATTTGGGTCCTCACGAGACGCTCGCTGCTGCTCCTGTGCTCAACCATGTTTTCACACGGCAGGCAACACGCCTTTGATTCGCATCAACCGTATCGCTGAACAGGAGGGCCTCAAGTGCGAGCTCTGTACGTGATTCAGTAGCTCAGGCGGGGACAAAGTTTTCTGCTGGCAACTCGCCGTGCCGCTCATCACACTGCTCCATTCATTTTTCTTTGTTGGTTTGCCTTGCGCCTCTGTCAACACACCCTAGTGGTCAAGTGCGAGTTCTTCAATGCCGGTGGCTCCGTCAAGGATCGTATTGCTCGCCGCATGATTGAGGAGGCTGAGCGCAGCGGCCGTCTCAAACCCGGAGACATTATCATCGAGCCCACCTCTGGCAACACAGGTGCGCCTTGCGACAAACATTCCGACATGATGTCCCCCTTTGCTCTCTTGTTGCTGTGTTTTTGATTTTTTTTTCCAAAAACATGGCCGGCGTGTTCTCATTTCTGCTCTTCCTTTTTTTTTCCTTCTTCTTTTCTTCTCCCTAGGCATTGGCCTCGCATTGGCCTGTGCCATCAAGGGATACCGCTGCATCATTGTCATGCCCGAGAAGATGAGCCAAGAGAAGGTGCGGGCAATGTGCCAACACTCATCGTGTAGAGAGCCAAAGGTCCTATGTCACTGTGCCATCCATCAACTCTTCTCAACTGTCCTCTCCTTTACAGGTGGACGTTCTTCGCGCGCTTGGTGCCGAGATTATCCGTACCCCCAACGAAGCTGCCTTCGATTCGACCGGTACGGCGCCCATTTGGCTCTTCCATGTGCATTGATTTAGGCCACACATTACAATCCTGAAAACGATGCTGTGCTGACTGGCTCCTTGGTTCATGGTTTCTTTCGGCGACTGTTGTAGAATCGCACATTGGTGTGGCCAACCGCCTGAACCGCGAGCTGCCCAACTCCCATATCCTTGATCAGGTTGGTCATGCTCCCATTCTATGACAATAGCATAACTGCCATGTGCGCCGCCCGCCTCGAGTCTGCATCTCACTTGTTGTGTTGACCATCTGCGTGTGCACCTGTGTTCCTATTAGTACTCCAACCCCAACAATCCTCTGGCTCATTACGATGGCACGGCCGAGGAGATTCTGGAGCAGTGCGACGGCAAGATTGACATGTTGGTTGCCGGCGCCGGTACCGGTGGTACCATCACTGGTATTGCTCGCAAGCTCAAGGAGAAGGTGCCTGGCATCACGGTTGGTCCATGCCACTACAAGCTCGCATGCCCATGACCAGCGAACAGCTGAGACAAGGGTAGCCTTCTTGCCTTTTGCAAATGTCTCTCATATCAATGTCGCACTGTGCCGATAGATTGTTGGTGCGGATCCCGAGGGTTCCATCCTTGCCCAGCCCGAGCAGCTGAACGAGACGTCTGTCACTGGCTACCAGGTCGAGGGTATTGGCTATGACTTTATTCCCCGTGTGCTGGACCGCAGCGTCATTGACAAGGTTCGTCTTATCTAGTTGCTTTCGACTTTCGAGGCCAGCACCCGAGTACGCCTGCGTCTCACCGGTCGTTGTCACGTTTTTGCCTCCTGCAGTGGGTCAAGACAAACGACCGTGATTCATTTACGTACTCCCGTCGCATGATCCGTGACGAGGGTCTCCTTTGCGGTGGCTCTTCAGGCTCCGCCATGTCCGCGGCCATTGAGGTTAGTGTTACTTCTGAAACGAAAGCAAGGGAGTGGCATGCTCAAGAGGAACAGGACATGTCTGCCGGCGATGATGGCACACACACACATTTCTCTGTGCTGGCCTGCTCTGACGGATGATACTTGCTCGCTTTCTGTTAGGCTGCTCGTGACTTGAAGGAGGGCCAGCGCTGTGTCGTGATTCTCCCCGACTCAATCCGCAACTACATGACCAAGTTCTTGAACGACGACTGGATGTTCGACCGCGGTGAGTCACCAGTGCCAGTGCTTTGCATGACTGCATAACAATCGTATTCCGACCATTTCCCACTCATCGATGCTCTCTTTGTCTGACGCGGCGACTATTGGCATTTCACCGTCGCCAGGCTTTTTGGACCATCGCCCCGAGGACCAGGTCTCGGCCGATATTGCCGACTGGTACGTGCCCTGCTAAGCAAGGTCTCCTGGTGACCCGGTTTGAAGCGAAATTTCCTCTCCTCCTTTCAGCATCGGCTGACGCTTCCTTGGTTGATGGGCGCTTTTGTTTCAGGTGGACTTCCCTGCCCGTGACGTCCATGCCCCAAAAGTTCCCCATGACCCTGGACCCTGATGTGACCTGCCACCACGCCACCGAGATTTTGAAGCGCGAGGGCTTTGATCAGATGCCTGTCGTTGGGCCCAAGGGGTGAGTAGACAACATGCGACTGACGTGATGGGTCGGGCTTGGTGTCCTTGTCCCTAATTTGGCCATTTCTCCGCGCCCTTTTATAGTGGCGTTTTGGGCATGGTCACCGAGGGCAACCTGATGTCCAGCCTGCTCAAGCGTCGTGTCAAGCAGACGGACCCGGTCGCCAAGGTGCTGTACAAATCGTTCAAGCAAGTGCCAACCACTGCGACGCTTGGCCAAATCTCGCGCCTGCTGGACCGCGAGCCCTACGTCCTTGTTGTTTCGGAGCAGCGCTGCTGTGAGTCTTGTCAGTCCTTCGTGGATCGCCACGTTGTGACGCTGGCGGCCAATTGAGCCGCCAGCCCACCTGTTCTCTTTTCGATATCGTGTCGCGTCTTGCACTTGCCCTGCTGTTCCCTTTGCCTCACTCACCATGCCTTTGCGTTTTATGCCTTGGCAGTTGTCAACTCGAACGAGGCCACCATGCGTCAGACCATCTTCTCTATTGTCACGCGCATTGATCTGCTCAACTACATCATGACCCACGCCCCGTCCGACCGCGCCTCGGACGCGGACGCGGCTGCAACTTCAGGCTCCAACAAGATTGCTGTTTAAGCCTCTTGTGCATCAATCATTTGCTAGCCATTTTGCCACACAGAGGGAGGAATGCGCATTTCTGCACACAGTGCCTTTTTTTGTTTGTTCCTTGTTTTTTTTTCTTTGTTTTCATCGATTATGGCAAAGAATGGTAGCAAACTGTTCTTGTGTTGGCTTCCCGGCCGTAACAATCGCCCGCTTGCTATCTGGGCATCGACGTTCAAGTGTCTTCTCGCTTGGCGTCGTGCCGTCAACCTTTTGAAATCGAATCCACGGGACTGATTCGGCCAGTGCATTTTGTTCAAAGTGAACGTGAATGTAGACAATACCGAGCAAACTTTTACGAAAACCCGGCCATACACCGGGTGGTGGCGGGGCTTGACAAGCCCAGGCATTTGAACCTCAGGCCCATTTTGTCTTCTCGAACCAGCATCTCGGCATTGGCCTTGATGGCCAGCGCTTGCTGGGTATCCTGATCAGGGTCAAAGAAATGTGGCGGTCGTGAGGAGCGCGAAGCTTGCCGAGGGGAAAAGCCCAAAGCGATGCCGTGTCCTGTCTTGACCCAGGCATACCTGGGCTAGTTTGGCCTTGTGTAGGAGTTGTTGCGCACGCTCAGCGAGGCCAAGACGCAGCAAGAAGCTCCCTTGGGCCACAGGCCCATGTTGCGCCACTCCTGTTTGGCAGGGAACAGAACAATGACACCCTTCGTTGGCGCGTATGCCCAGACAGGTGGGTTCGTTGAGCGAGAATCGACCCACCAGGTGCATGTTTCTGCAGAAGATGCATGAGCTGCGCAAAATTAACATCGGCCGTAATATCGGCGGTTCCCGGCTGTCAAAACAGATCAAGTCCATAAAAGGCGATAGGAGCCGAAAAGATTGATGAAATCACAACAAAGCATGAAGAGGCCAGGCAGTCATCCTTGGAACAACGCACAGCGCCAGGGAGCGAACCTCATCAAGAACATCGACTTGCACGTGTTGTCGATAGGCCTGCCGAAGAGAGATATGGGTGAAACACAATGAGACCAAGATGACGTAACGCCACGACGACACGTGAGCCAGCCAAACCCTACCCGTAAAGTGTCGCCCGTTTCCATAGACCAGGGGCCATAGTCGATAAGCAGCGCCGAGCCTAAAAATTCATCAGCAGTCATCAGTCTCCCAGCGGCTCGACCCCCAGTGTTGAGTCCCCCTCTCCCTTCCCTTGGCTTGCGAGGCTCGCATGAAGCAAACGGGCAACTGCGCGTCTACTGGGCGAGAGCGAGCCAAAGAGTTTAACACCACTCACCGACACTTTGGCCGAGCAAATCGGCAACTTGGAGGCATGTTTCGGCCGCACGAGGTGAATACTCCACAACATCCCCATCCTTGGGTTGGGCTGGCAGGAACGAGGGCGTCTGCTTGATCATGGTCACGACAGGTGTTTCACCTTTACTCAGCACAAATCTAGCATTCGATGAAATGCAGCAGCATCAGCGGGCTATCGAGGCGAATGGACAGCTAGAGAGGCAGACCCGCTGGCGATGCTGACCGTAAGGGCAGCTCGCCTGGCGCTGGGTCTGGGTTGACATCAACCAAGCGCTCATGCCACTGGTCATTTTGATACTGCAGCTGGTAGATTGGTGCGGCGTCGAGAAATTCGTTTGCCACTAAGTTGGAAGGCATTGGCCGTGAGAGTTGCCGTGCGATGGTCACACATCAACAACAGTGGTGAGGTGTCCACAAGCGGCTGTCACTTCCAAGCTGGCTAAAGCGACATACCAACAATGACGGGGTCAAGTGAGCTGCCATGTGTTTTTTGATCGGCGTTTTCGGTCAGTAGTTGATCCTACACGAGCAGTGGTTTTCCATGAGCGCATATCATGGAAAACATCGCAGCAGCCACGGCCCAGCACCCAAAGAGAAGGCCGAGCTCACTAGGCGCCGGAACCAGCGCAGCTGGCGGCGATCGGCGTCTGCCTTGCGGTACGGCCCTATATCGAACGATTTGGTCACATGGCCACCCAAAAAAAAAAAAATTCAGGAGGTTTGTTGACAGCAGAAAAGGTCGGTCGACTGAATAAGAGGGCCCTGTGGACCGACCGGGCAAGCTGGGGTCCTGAAGGGGCGCTGGGGAGGTCCGTTCACGGTTGCAAATGGTCGCCTCTTGTTCTGCACTACACGTGACGCATGTGATGCATGGCGACGATTCAAGCCCAAAGGAAAAAAAAAAAACAATGGGTTGAGATTGATTCTTTGAGCGGCACAGCACACGGGGGCGCGCGCCAGGACACAACATTGGGTGGCAGGAACTGCGCCAACCTCAGCAAAAGACTGCTCTCAATCAAGTTGATGTCAATCTTTGTCGCTGGTAAATGTTTATCCAAGACCTGCGAAGAATCAAGAATGGGTCGTTGAATGCCGAGCTCGGATGCAGGTTGTGATTGTACCCTGCTTCCCGGAGTTGTCTGGCCTCGCCTATCAAACGGCGCAAGAAGTTCAGCAACTTGCCGTCATTATGTCACGCATAAGAACACCGTTCCCCGGCCCAAGCTCTACTAGACGCAGGCGATCAGGGCATCCCAAGGCCTGCCATTCCGTGGTAATCCAGATACCGAGCATCTATGCATTGGCCCATCCATCAGCAGGCCATGAGAAAATGGCCCCATATCAAGTGCTTGTGGTGGCAAGCTCAAAGATGCATACCTCGCCAAACATGTGAGATACACCTGGAGCCGTGATAAAGTCACCTTGGCCGCCGAATTGGCCGTCGCGGCTGTAATAGCCCTAGCCACGTGGGAGCCATTCGAACACGACAAGTGAGAACGCGCTCTCTGCTCTTTAGCCAGAGAAAGCATGCCATTTGCACTGGGGGATGTGATGCAAAGAGGCAAAAAAAAAAAAGAGAAGCTGGCATGTTAATGGAGGGCAGTTCATCGTCTTCAGCTCGCGAAACGCACTGCGATGGGACTGGTGAGCACTTCTTGCATGTAGTCAGCGATGGACAGAGGCCCGCTGAGCTCGATACGCGTAACGATGTGATCCAAAAGTTCGTCAGTTGTGCCAAGGGGTCCCGCAACTTGCTGATCAGACCGTAGCAGCCGATGACTAGTCGACAGGTCTCGCCTCGCATTCATCCAGCACCCGCTAGTCCGCGCCGAACCCGCCAGCAGCGGCCATCTTTGGGGCTGCCACCGCCGCGCGAGTGCCGCGATGACCGATCGGCTGACTGCGGACATGTTTGCTTGGTCAACAACTGTCGTTGAGGATAAAAGATCCTTTTGCCTCTCTGCGCTTTTTTGAATTGATGTGGATTCGATTTTCGTTGCAAGCGGATTGTGTTTTCATCAGCTTGCAGCGACGCCGGAATGTCAGCAAAAACATGATCGCCCTTGCTTTGTTGTTCTCCAATATCGCTCCAAGTAGCCTCTCTCTTCTTTTGTATCCTTCAATGGAATCATCTCTTTATGGGCTCCGTGATAAGTCACCTTCTCTGCTTTTGCCTTGCATTTGCCTTACACCGGCCCAACACGCCTCTCCCTGCCTCTTGCCCCGCTTGGGCACGCTTCGCATCTCTACCTAGCCTTGCCAAGCGTAGCAGTATCTCTTAGTTTTCTTGTTGCTTGTGCAGGTATCAGCTCGCGATCGCTGCCCCTCGGCAGCGGCGGTGCGGCTTGACCTGGTGACACTGGGTGGCTTGTCGGCACACGCTAGCCACACGTGTGTGCCAAGGTGCGGATCATGCTGCTCTAGCTGATTGATGCTGTGGTTGTTTTGCAGGTGCAAAGATCCAGCACGCGTGCGCCCGCCCACCGACAGCCGTTTTGCGCAACTCCTGTACGTGTCCGCATGGCCCCGAGTTTCGGATCATGCCCTCAGGCTGTGCGCACTCGATGTTGGTGGCCCATGCGTGGTGTTGTCAATCTGCTGTTGCCTCACAGTCTACCTGGGACCTGTGCAGGGGGCCTCTCATCACTCCGGTGTCACAATCAGCATGGCAGCAGCGTTGCGCCTGCTCCTTGCGCTGCAAGGTGAGTGATGGTCACACGTGCAGGCGCCACCTGACCTGGTTGATGATTCACAGCGCTTCTACGTTTGTTCTGGGCAACGGTGTAGTCGCTTTGGCAGCAGCTGTCTTGGTCAAGGTGCAAGAAGAGGGCACTGGCAACGTCTGTGCTCTCTTGCAATTTTCCTCACTCAAGGTGTCCGCGTCGGCCAACGTACGTTGCGTTCGTTTGGGATAGTCACCGTAGCTTCATGCCAACAATTTCATTGGAAATTTCGTGGCCTGCACACACTCACAACAGGACAAGAGCACATCTGTGACGCTTACCAACGCGAGCTCAGTCAGGTAAGAGGCTGCCCATCCCACTGGGCTTTGGTACCAAACTCTTTTCGCCCTCGTGCCGCATCCCTCGTCCATGTGAGCGGCTCTTATCTTGCATCCCGATTTGAATCCATAGTGTCCCACAGTGCAACCACCCCAACGCCACCTATTTCTTCCGTGCCTTCAATTCCGAGAGCAGCGTTGTATTTGGCCTGCAGTTTGCGGGGGAGAACTCCCACGTCACCACCACCGTTGCTCCCTCCACCACCGCCTCTCCTTCTGGACACAACTCGACAACAACTACCACCACCACGCCCAAGGCCACCACCCAACCTAAGAACACCACCACCACGCCCAAGGCCACCACCCAACCTAAGAACACCACCACCACGCCCAAGGCCACCACCACCAAACCCAAGACCACCACCACGTCCGAGGCCACCACCACCACCACGTCCGAGGCCACCACCACCACCACGCCCAAGGCCACCACCACCAAACCCAAGACCACCACCACGTCCGAGGCCACCACCACCACCACGTCCGAGGCCACCACCACCACCACGTCCGAGGCCACCACCACTACGTCCGAGGCCACCACCACTACGTCCGAGGCCACCACCACTACGTCCGAGGCCACCACCACTACGTCCGAGGCCACCACTACCACGTCCGAGGCCACCACCACCACGTCCGAGGCCACCACCACTACGTCCGAGGCCACCACTACCACGTCCGAGGCCACCACCACCAACACCACACCTGCCAACTCCAGCTCGACAGCTGCACCTGCTGAAAAATCAGCCGAACGCCGTTTTGCCGGTGTGTAGTGTACATCCTTGAGTGCCGCGCCACTACACACTTTGAGAGAGCTCATTCAAACTTTTGCTTGTCTGGCCAGCCCCGAATTTCGAAACAGTGGCCAGCTGGTCCCTGGTGAGCATCACCAGCGCCTTTGTCAGTGCAAACGTGCAAGGTAAATCAAATCATGCATACCAGTTCAGCAAAATGGCATCATGTTTCATCTTGACAATCAAACAACACGTGTCCCTCTGATTACTGAACCTTTTGATCCCATTGCATCTCGCCTGCGTAGTCAATGGAACGGTCAACTTTACGGATGCTTCCACACCCATGAAGAGCGCCCACGGCTACGGCTGGGGATGCAACCAATCCACGGCACTCGACTCGACCCCGGCCTCTTCCAAGTCGACCCTCTCGCTCATCTTTGAGGACTTGAATGTGCAGCCTTTCAATATTCAGCCGAACCAAAATACCATCCAACCAGCTCCGAATGGTTCGTGGCCATCTTACTCGCTACCTTCTCGCTTGACGGTTCTCTTCTCTGCGACTTGTCTTTTGTCGCTCATTCTTTCCTGTGCTTTCTCTCTTGCATCCTCTGTCGGTTGACAGCGCAACTTGATGCTTGCCCTGGCAAGAAGAACCAGGACCATACACTGGCCATCGTGGTTGGTGCCATCGTGGGTGGCGTCGTTCTCTTTTCTCTCCTGGGCTATGCCTTCCTCGGCATGAAGCGCAAGAGTGGCTACTCAAAAGTCTAAATTTTGTCAACAGCCCAAGCTCTTGTCCTCTACGGCCACTCCCGTGAATGAAACGTGTTTGTTTGGCTTTGCCCTGTGCATGGCATGTACTCGTTTGCTTGTTCTTGTTTTCGATTAGGTTTGTGGCATTCCGCTGTGTTCCCACTGGTACACTTTGCAGTCCTGTGGGACACAAGCTGGCTCTACGTATGAATGTTCGTCGTGTATTGACTGCATGGACGTAGTTGACCATGCACAAGACTCATTGCCTTCTCTCCGGAAGCCCTGGTCTAAAATTCTTGATTTCCTATTTGTCTGCCTCTGCCACACAAACCCATGCTTGCGCGAAACACAACATGGACCACCCGGTACTAGAGGGCACTCACTACAAAAAGAGAGAGGCAGATCCCCCAAAACCCGTGCATGCTCAAACGCCGTCCATGTATACAACCCAAGAACAGGTGTAATGGAAAGAACAGCCCCTTTTGTTATCATTGCCCCTCGCTTCGAGTTGCGTCGGCTATGGATCGCAAAATTTTGGAGCGCAGCACGCGTGAAAGCCCTTGGCACCAGAAGCGTAGGACCCGCACATCATAGCGGCGGACGCCCAGACGCTATTATCCAAAGTGGAGTGGAAGAAGAGGGCAAGCCAAATTCAGATGAGGCAACGTGGTAAACATGGAAGACAATGGAACACACGCTCAATGGGTGGGGGGGGGGGGGGGGGGGGGCCGTGGAAAAAACAAAAAAAAAACCATCGGT